AATGAAGAATTTTTAAATAAAGTCGAGTCTGTAGGCATTCAGGTATTCCCCATCGGTAATGAACTGTAGGGCCATATAAGAGCAATACAGGCTAAGACGACCATATATTATTGTTCTCCCATGTATAAATAGTGAGCAAGTCGCAAAAATATCAGGTTGAATGAAAGGCTTTCGGGATATATAATTAAGGAGTTAACATTCGTACGATTGACCAGCAGACATGATTGCATATCCATGCCAATGTGTCAAGGAGGCGTAATAATACACTGATCTTAGTGTGTCTTAGTCCTGGTTAACACCTTATTTATTTAAAAAAATTAATTTGGACTAACAACCAGGTATAACTGAATCTGCTAGCCAGAACTCGAAAGGATAGAGAAAATTAGTCTCCGATTAAGCAACCAGTTTAGTAAAGAAACAGTATTTACACTTGGTTGTATAAGATGATGAGGGAAAAAAAGTTGAATTTTCCAAATATGTGAATAGGCATAACGTTTCCATTTAATTCCCCATAGCCTTGTTCCTCAAAAGGTATTATAATCCAGGTATGAAGACCAGGATGGTGTAGCCTTTTGTACGGTCAGGGTCTCCTTTCGTTGTATTGAAGCAGTTTGGCCGTTTTCGCGACCTGATCATATTGACAGTAAGACCTAGGGAAACGTACCTTGTCCGGAGTCGATAGTATGCATAATCATTTCCAGAGTCGAACCGTGAATTTGGTACATTCCCAGACATTTCGCCAACATCTTCAGTGAGGCGGACAGAGCAGGACACCATGCTTAACGATAATTCACCGAAAACACAAAAGCAAGAAAAGTGGACGGCTTTAAAACTACCTATCTTCTACGAAAGATTACATGATGGTGGTATAAGGATTCTGGTAGAGTAGTCTATTCTTTATCTAGCCCTAAATATGTATTTCCCTCCATTTCATTTGACAATATTCTAAAATAATTGTCAACCAGTCCTTGCGGATAATTATTCTCAAACAATTATTCTTAGTATCCTCAAATCCTGGTACAGACACAGGCTTCTTATTACCGTAGATGTCATAATTGCTACTTTAACTCCATAAGTGTGGTTGGAAAAGAAATTCAAAAGGAGACCTAATCTGGCTCCCTCTTAGCTAATTAGGACATCAAGAATAGGTAAACCACAGAGGAGTGCCACTTAAAATTATTGTGAATAATAAAGGAAGAGTGATGTATAATCACGATTTATTTGCAACCAATTAAAGCAAATCTCAGACGTGGAAGATTTCAATCAAGAATTCTTATGAATTCGTTAACTTAGTCAGCGAGCAGGAGGTAGAAAATGGGGATTTACTGGTAAATTTTGATGTTGATTCTATGTACACTAAAATTACTGTAGACGATGCTATATAGGCCATGCAGTCATCATTAGACCAATGCGCGGAGATTTTAATGAACACGAAGTTAAGAAAAGGCCAAGCTAGAGATGTACTGTACCTTTAGTGGTAAACTGTGGTGATAAAGACAAGATTTAGCTCTGGAATCGTGTTTGTCACCAATTTTAGCAAATAATTGCATGGGTCAATTTGAGGAACGCATAATTCAAGAGACACTTTTAGTTCCCAAATTATTAGTTCGCTATATGGACGACTGCTTTGCTATTCGGCAATATGGATAAGAAAACCTGAAGAATTGTCTTGGTTTGATGAACAGGAAAGATAGAACGACGAAATTCAACATCGAGTTCGAAAATGAAGGTGGTTTACCTTTTCGTGATGTGCTAGTTAGCAAAGAGGAGACCAGATTAGGTAGAGATGTGTATAGGAAACCCACAAATGCAGGCTTCTTTTCTAATTTATTTTCCAACCACACTTATGGGGTTAAAGCAGCAGTTATAAAATCTAAGATAATAAGGAGCCTGCGTCTGGAAGATGTTAAGCATCGGGACTAAGAAATGCGGAGACTAAGGAGAATTCTGGTTGAGAACAATTATCCATGATGAATGGTTGATAATTATTTCAGAATATTGTCAAATAGAATGGAGGGAAATATATGTGGGGCTAAATAAAAAGTTAAACAACTCTAGCCGAATCCTTATGTTGCCATCGTGTAATCTGTCGAAGAAGATAGGCGACTTACTATGGGACATAAGGACTATTTATAAAGAGAAAATAACACTTCCCTTGGTATTGCCCTCTTTTCGAGAATACTCTGACCCGCTCTCCAGATCGGGCTGTTACAAGATTTTGTGTCCATGCGATAGCGCCTATGTAGGAGAGATATGTAGCCCTATACATAACAGGTTCTTTGAACATAAGACAGTCTGTAAAGGTATGTGGGTCAAAAAATCGGAATTGGCCGAACACATGGGTCGAACAGGTCTAATCCCAAATGCTTGACTGGATATGGAGACCATACCAGTAAGCGAAAGATTAAGGAAGCGATAGAAATCAACAAAACAGCCAACACCCTGAATAGAAGGAATGAGTGTAGGAAGTTAAGCGGAAACTACATACGGACGTTGGATAGGTTTAGAGTAAAAAATATATTCTTAGATTTGACTTTAATTAGATAAGTAGCTAGGATGGAAACAGTAGAACGCAACTATAACAAGCCAAAAGAATTGATATGAAGCTCATGAGAATGAATGGAGTCATTACATAGGACTAAAGACAATAGATTTTAGGCAAACACTTCTATCAGGTTAGAAAATCTTGGACACTCAGAGCACATTTTCATCCAGGATTTGAGTCCGTCCGGTAGTGAGCCCAGACTGTGTGAAACAACGAGGGATGAGTAAACAAAGGCATCAAGAAGGGATGGGCATGCAAGGCGTGAGGTCACAGTAGCATGGCCGAAGTATATCTCAGAGGTAAGACGTTTTACGGCAGCGTTCTTGTCTTTGGATCGGCCAAATAGTATCTGAGAGTCAACTATGGCTAATACACTGTCGAGCGTGTCGGAGGGGGTCTCTTCCGTCAAGCTTAAGTGCTGAAGGAGTAGACGCAAGAGCATCGATTCGCCGTACAGCGGAGGATATTTAAATGAGTTAATAAAGATTTGGCAATCCAATGGAACTAGCCCCCAGATAAGGTGAATCTTCACCACAGGCAACGATGAGCATTCCGCAGATTCGTCGTACTCTTTAAGTAAGTTTTTAACCCTTTCAGGTAAAGATGGACAAAGAGAATGAACATAGCTTAAGAGGCAAATGTGAAAGCCTCTATTTCTCAAAAGTTGACAAATGAAGAACAAAGAAACCGGTGGCCTCGAGGGATCAGCATGAACAGCTATATCTAATGATTCGGCAGGAAATGGGGCGGTTAATGAATTTGAGAATGAAGTAATATCTAATGAGCTCTTGACATCAGTAGAATTGAGTAGTTGGTTCACATTAGATGTAGACTCATTATTAGCCAGTTCGACATTCATATCCGACGGTGTCCTCGCAAAATCA